GCGTATTGTAACACTCCAGACTAGAAACTTTATATCGTCAGGTGAAATTGCAAGAGCAGGAAAATTAAAAAGAAATATGAGCGCCAGAGTTTGCTTCCAAAAGAGCTTTCGAAAAGATCAACTGCTTGAAACCTGTTTACATTTTAACTACCTTGCATTGTGGTGGAATTGACGAACTGAGATGTTATAACTAGGTTAATAAGGCAAAGCCTTACATAATGGCCTACTGTTAAAACAGTGAAAATAAGTACTATAAAAAATTCAAAAGCAGAAATAATACAAAAACAATTAAGCATTGCTTTTATATTTAAATACTTCAAATATCCTACTTTCGCTCTTTTAATTATAGCGAATTAGCGAGTTTTTCTTCTATTTATCACTATTTATATTAAATTTCTACTAATTTTCTAGATCGATTTAAGCTTTCCTTTCGATGTTACAATTGTATCACATAAAAAAGGCAAAACCAAGTTTTAAACTACATAAAATGTTACTTAAGTCTGTCATAGTTTTTACCTGTTTAAGGAATACATTTTGGTATGGATATTTTATTATAGGTATATAAAAAGTGTGCTTTGAGGTCTATAAAAAGGATAAAATATTCAAAATAGTAGGATGAAATATTCAGCAGAAAGTTTCATGAGTAAATGATACATACATTTTTCCCTACTATATCCACAAGATATAGTACTCAGCTAGAAATGTTTAATTTGACGATAAATTAGAAGGTTAACCATTCCTCAATATTCCGTAACACACACGAAGAAGAAAAAAAATCAGCCTTTTTCTTACTATCATTCATTTTCTTCTGGATAAAAAAGTACTGTTTTTCTTTATATAATTTCACGGGGTTATTTCACAGAAAGCAGAAAGCATTAAGTTACAAGAAATAACAAAAGGCATAAAATGCACAAAAACATTTTGTGTGTGCATAAATGAAGAGCATTTTTTGCATGGACAAGTAATCCGAAATAGTTATTCACCTTTCATTGTTTTCATTTCTTTGTTCGAAAGGTGATGCGAAGAGCTTTAATTAAATTTAAAGAATAAACTTTCATTCCATTAAAGTATTTTCTGATCAAAAAATAAAATATAAAATGAAGATTAAGTAAATGGGAGTCTCAATTGCGCTTTTTGAAAAATCTCGAAATCATTCCAATTTCGGGTACTTTTATTTTTTCCCTCCTATTACCTTCTTTTGGATACGTCGTTTGAATGAATACTCACCTTCGAAAGAATCTCCTGCTTGTAAAAGTACTCGCAGATAAGAAGATTATCTAGGAAGATTTTTTCTTTAAAATTTTTTATTGCGGTCTTTTCCTTTCTCAGAGCTTTAAACTGGCAAAGAATGAGTTTTATAAAAGCAGATTTAACTTAATAATGGAAATCAGCAAAATTTCCTCAAATCAGAGAGACCTACATTTTCAGTGTCAGTTTTGTCTATGTCGTGATGAAATTTCACATATCGCTGTAGTTCATCCACCAAGGTTTTTCAAGTTGAAAAACTGCTCCCATTTTATTGCGGGTTGATGTCCCAATATAAGAATGATGGATGCCGAATCACACTGGAGAATCTTTAATAAAATGACTTTGTAATCCAAAATTTGTATTTTGCATTGGCTGTAGGGGTTCTAATAATTGCTTATAAATAAAAATTTAAATGCTTTACATTAATCTACTGAAATATGTTTAAAAGGGAAAATTCTGGAATATGTTTATAAGTAAACATTCCAGAATCGTTTAAAATTTTATAAGTGAAATCATCAGAAATCTACTCATTATTAACATTTAAGGAAGTTCTATTTAAGTTTCCTTTAATTAAAATTAAAATTAAGAGATTGTAATGCATAATCAGCAAATTAATGTGTTAAGAACATCATGTACACTGCACAAAAAAAGGCGGGACAGGGTTACATGTCTCATTCCTACTGAGCCGATTGACGAAATTCAACTAAATCGCGACTTAGGATATGTATAAAATTTATATATAGCATTGTTGTAATACAGGTATTTTGACAAAAAATCGGACATTTTCTGAAATGACACGCCAGTTTCTTTTTCCATATTTCGAGTCTACGACTCAAATTATGCCAAACTGCTAACTTTTGTAAAATTCAGGCGGGTAGTTTTTAAAAAATTAGCTCTCTAACTTTTGCTTCTCCATGTTAATTGAATTTGATATATATTTATTAATATCTCTTTTTTTATTAAACTTATTTGATTCTTCGTTACATATTTCGAAATTTAAGTTCATTTAAAATAAAATTAGCCTAATTTTATGATTTATTTTAAAAATTTGTATTTTAATAATAATTTTTATGGATTTTTCGAAAAACATTTTGAATACCACCTATAAAAGTTTTATATCTTAAAGTTTATATATCTTAAAGTAGCTGTCTTTCTAAGCATATCTGCAAAATATTAAGAGTTTGTTTATTCAAAATTTCCTAAGATATTCGTGAATTTACATTTTGGCGCGCATTGAAATATGGCGTGTTTATTTTAAGCAATAATAACGAAAATTTGATTTACGGACTTTGTTAAAATTATTTGAAAGTATGAACGATGAATTTTCTTCCCCTCGTGGACAATGAAGAAAAAGGAAAGGAAATTAGGTTGCTATAAATTAAGAAGTTCGCCAAGTGAATTTTTCTTAGCGCAAACTGAAAAAAATCTACCAACATAAATTTTTAAATTTCTCCATAAATTTACCAAAAATTACAAAATTTAATATCTAGGAATAATTGGAGTCGTAGAATCCAAATATGGAAAAAAATGGTATGTTATTTCAGAAAAAGACCGATTTGTGTCAAAATACCTATATTAGAACAAAGCTATATATAAATCTAATATATATCTGAAATCGAGCTTTCGAGACATGAAAATCGCAATTTGAATTTCGTCAATTGGCCAAGTAGAAAGTAGAACGGGAGATAGAGAACTGTCCCCCCTTTTTTTCTCTTTTTGTTGTTGTTTTTTGATGCAGTGTACCTTTGTTATCTGTAGGAGTTGATTCTTTATAGTTTGATGGTTAATTTTTTAGTGAATGGAAGCTAATACCGTTTTATGAATCTAATAGCATTTTAATGAAAATGATAAAAACTAGACAAAAATAAACCTTTCAGAAATATTCTATCGAAAAAGATAATGATTAGTGTTTTAATTAAGTTAACCACTTGTGTTTAATATTTACATGGTAAGATACGAACTGCGCAAAATTTAATTGAAAACCGCCTTCTTAGTACCAACTGCGCCACAACGAACAACACCCAGTTTTTCCGTCCCCTACCTTATATACGGAGGCTGAAAAGAACAAAGAAAACCCACAAACTGCGCTACTTGAGTTTTCTTCTCATGAAGCTTGTTTCTACAAAACGTCATTTATCCTTATTACTGGGATATTCCATTGAGACTACAACCATCTAGTTTCGTTTATCACTTGCAAAAATTTTGAATGTAAAACAAAAATCTGGTGTGTGTTGAGGTATAAACATGTTTTTTACAATCATATTATAGTTTTATAATGCTTAAAAGAATAATGAGTCAATTCTTGCTTATCTTCCGCAGGAATTAATATATATATATATAAGCAGAAATAAAACATGAAAAAAGAGACATATATATGTGGTGCAGAATTTTGCGCATTGAGCTGCAACGATGGCTTTGCTCTACGCGAACAAGCAACCTCTATGTAACGTTTCGCAATTTCAGAATCTTCTCCTAGACCAGTACTTTCGAGAACATTCGGGCATGTTACGTAACCGCTGTAATCATGAATAATCTACCACTTAAATTGAGAAAACATGCAGAGTTTAAAAACAGCTAAACCTCTTCTGTGTCATCATTTCATACCAAGAATTATGTGTGCGCCCGACTGCCAAAATATTACATATATATATATATTGTTTCACAAGAATATAGTAAAGTTAAATTAAACTAAAATAATTCTCTTGAGCCATTTCTACAAGGATTTATTAATTAAATTTTAACATTTCTTGCAGTAATGGCGCAAGAGAATTATTTTAATTTAATTTAACTTTAATATATTTTTACGAAACCCTTTTGTTTATACTTAACAGCTTTTAGCGCTAATTACCTTGTTTGATTTCACTACTTTCAAATGTAACTACATTTAGTTCAAATAGTTTGATTTCTTTTTAAATAGTTTTTACGCTTAGTTCTTGTATTGTATTATAAGGTAAAAAAGAAAATATTTCATGCTATTGCTTTCAAGCAAATGTGACACTGTGGTTCCCGTGAATAATTTTTAACACTAAGTTAAAATAAATTCAATTAAAAGTTAAAATACAAGATAAATGAAATTATAACAAGAAAACTGACAAATAAAAAGTGAATGTAAACTCATATCAAATTTAAATGTTAAAAATGTTGATTAAAGCTTAAACAACCCTAAAACATTTAAACATAAGTTAACATAAACACAAAAGTTATTTAAGACACAAGCAGAAATACAAAGAAGCGGTAAATTAGCTTAATTCGAATCTCATTACTGACTCTTCAGGGGAAATGCACAATGATCTTACAATGATCTTCGAATCCAGCTAATTCCATATCGCGTTTCATCATAACAGAAGAACTGAGACTGAACACGAAATAACTTTTGACTATTAAACCTACAAAATAACCTATTAAAACTTAAGTCTAAATTCCTCTGCTTCATTTCCCGACGCGTCCGCTGGTTAAAAGTAAATGATAAACACATTAATGGTGTAAGAAAAAAACTATACAGACTAGCCCGGTTAGGCAAATGTACAGAACAAAATAAATAGCAAATTCCTATTAGTCAATAATACACGATTTTTGGGGAGGACCTACTATTGTATTATATATATACATACAGCAAAAAATTTCATCAGAAAAAGACTTTTAACTATCTCATCACAATATCTTTCAAGCAGAAAGCTGTTAATTTCCAGGCTTAGAAAGTAGAAAACTCTTTAGTCTCTCTCTCGAGTATTAAATAAATCTTTTAGGGCAGCTTACCTTGGTGTTAGTTCAGAACTTTGTCTCATGAGAGATCCGACTGTAAACCAGAGGCTGTTCTGAAGTGAAAAACAATTCCGGCAGGCATGAACTTGAACAGCTTCGCATGGGTGAGGTGGTGGCCATTCGTAAGGACTGAATCTTGAAACCACATACAGAAGAAGACTCACTCCCATGTAGGCAGTAGCCATGTACATCCAGACTTCCAGACTTAAAGGACGGAGAAACCAGAAGAGTTTGGGAACCTTTCGAATAGGTCTCCGAAACAAGATGCTGATACCTAGATTCATGAAAGGCATTGTGAAATCCACGACTTGCTCCCTCTCGTATGTGATTGTAAAGTCTGCAACTGCCATATCGGCTTCCTGTAACAAATTTAATCAGGAGAATAATAAAATAATTCATGTGCATAGAAGGGAATAAAACTTTAAACAATTTAAAACCGTGCGTTAAATTCTCTCATTCAAATTTTTTTTTTTCTTCTTAACAATAAGAATTTTACTGTTATCTATAATTCTGTATAGCTCAATGAGTTGATTTTAATTTTTTTAGAATTAAATTCCTGAGGTTTACTGCTGAATGGAACTTGTTTTTAGCTCAAACGTGCGTTAACTCGAATTTCCTATTAGTCTCAAAACGGTATTTGGCGGTGTATTACTTTAAATATCTGACTCAGATTCTTGCCACAAAATATTATGGGTCTGTATTACTTTTAAATAAATTAAATAAAGAGAAGCTGCATCAATGTGCGTATGCTTCTCGCACTGTGAAAAAACGTTGTCAATGGCCATTAAATTTTGAATAATGTAGTTCTCCATCCGAATATGTGCACCTGCAAGCCAAAATTTTAAATTTTGAATTTTATATTTCATATTTTGTAAAACTTGAATGAATTTTTAACAATTTCGTTGATTTGAATGCGAGCAATGGCAAAACTCTACGGATTAAAACTTTGTCATATCCAGCGCGCGAGACGTCTAACTTCAGTACTACGGTTTACCGTAAACCTTCATCGGTTTGCTTTCCACCACATTTCAAATCATGTCGTCGGATTAAACAAAAGTTAGCTTTATTTTATTCCTATGTTTTTCGTGCTCTTCAAGTTTGCTCCTCCAAACTATCCCTTGATGAAGAATTAAATTATTTAAGGGAAATAGCTATTGACAGGGGCTTTTCAGCCAACATTATTTAATCAAGCAGTTAAAAAATTTTCATCTCAACACACCAAAAAGCACACTCTTGTTTTAGGAGATTATTTAAGTGTTTCTGAAAGCTAAAGAAATCTAAAAACTCTAATGTGGACACCAAATGATTTCCTTGTAAATTATGTTGAATTAGACACATATTTTGCTGCACACCATTTAAACTTACTTCCTCGAATTATCATTACTTAATTTCCCGATTCCTCAAGGCAAGATGAAAATAAATTCAAAATTTCCAAACTTTGGAATCAAATGTCAGGTTTTGTCGTACGGAGATCAAACGTTTTATAATTTTATTTTTCTATAACGATTATAAAATTTTCCTTAATATAATTAGAGAAATCGGGAGTAAAAGTTAGATTTCGTTATTTATCCAAAATCAATTTTCTTTTAAATATGACATATCTAAAACATAATTATTTTCGTCATTTGAAACTGTTCTGTAACTGGAAGTGCATGACTAAGACAACAATTTAATAATAAAGGCCAAGTACCGACTTAAAGCAGCGTAAGGGCGTGTGTGGGCATATATATATATATACAATTTTAGTACTGCTTATTGAAATAAAGAAGGAAAGATGCATAACTAGATGTTATAGCAGCCCCCTAAGTTTTGAGTTAGGCGAGATATACATATGTATATACAGACCTCACGCAAAAATTCTATTTTTAATCCATTTTGCAGTACGGTTTAAAAAAAAAATCCTTTATTTATCCGTATGTACACTGCAAAAAAAAAAAAAAAAAAAAAAAAAAAAAAAAAAGTGTCTCGAATGCGCTACTTAGGACATATATTTAGATTTATATATAGCATCATTCTAACATAGGTATTTTGGCACACAAAATCGAACATGTTATAACATGACATGCCAATGGTTTTCCATATTTCGATTCTACGACTCAAATTATGCCTAAATATTAATTTTTGCTAAATTTGTGGTGAAACTGAAAAATTTATCCTGGCGTATTTTTTCGAGTTTTCGCCAATGATAATGTACTTGGCGAACTCCTTAGTTTATAGTAAGCTATTTTCCTTTTCTTTTTTTTTATTTCCTTGTACGAAGTAAAAAGGAAGTATTGTAATCGCGAAAAGTTTCAGGCAGCATATTTCAACGAAAATATCCATTTTGACCGCTATCGAATGCAATTTAGCGATGTTTCTGCGTGATATCTGTACGTAAGGACAGAATAAAAGACTCGTTTCCTCCAAAAAAATTATAAAACTGCTTTAAAATTAATTCTGAAGAGAATTTTTCGTGGCGTCTATACGAACGTATGTACGTACGTGCGTACGAACCGTACGTACGTACGTATCTCGCATAACTCAAAAACGAGTAGCCTCACAACGTTGAAATTTTGTATATATTACTGCTAGTGCACCTCGTATTTTGGTTGCTATCGGCCGCACCAAACGTATATAAATACTATATTTATATATACTCATTTAATTTTACATTATTCATTTAATTACTCATTTAATTATTGTTTACTGTTTCTTTTTTGTTTCGTTTGCTTAATTTCTTTATTAGTAAAGAAATTTACTCTTATATGTTTGTAAATTGTACATTTTTTGCATTAAAAATGATTGAATTATGTTGTTCTTATCTTCCGGTTAAGGTTTTTATGCCTTTCGTAATTCTGGAAGAAATATTTGTTCAATTATCAATAATTTAAAAGCTGTTTAAGTGCGGTTAAGTTTTAAATAACATGGCGAACATATTTGTTTACATTTGAAAAAGCAGAATTGTAGATTTGTTGCCAATCTAGAGAGACAAGCTTCGCAACAACAAAATAACGCCTTCATTATTATTGCGAATTAAATCGTGCTTAATCCTTTCTGGAATTTTTTCGAGGAAATAAGCGTTTAAGATTTACTTAATTTTTAATAATTACTCATTTAATTTTTAATAATATTAATTTTTATACATATATTTTGAGCTTTTGTGCATTTTGTCTTGTCGTGAAGTGAAAATGAATTAATTGAATGAGAAATACTCATCGTCTGTGAAAAAACTGTTTCTTTTTTTTTTGTTTGCTTAATTTCTTTTTTACATCGTTCTAGCTTTATTTATAGTATTTGAAAAGAACATGTGGCAACGATTAGATAATTCTTTAAATGATATACATTTTATGCATTCTGAGTTATAATATGAATGAAATATAATACTGTTAAGTGAACCTAGTGCCAGAGTGTCGCTATGTTAAACAAATAGAGTGAATTTTAAAGAATGCCCTTATTCTATTGTGGTTTATGCGCTGTCGGCGAAGTAGATTTAATTCAATCCAATAAGTTTAAAAGAAATGCAAGAAACAAATGCGTATAATTTAACATTCCGTATTTTTTTGATTGCAAACGAGCGGACAAAAAGGCCATCATTCATACTTTATAAACTTAAATACTATATACAATTTTAGTACTGCTTATCGAAATAAAGGAGGAAAGATGCATAACTATATGTTATAGCAGTCTACTATAACATCTAGTTAACTAGTAACTCTTCATCTTTTTAAAACTGAATGCAACAAATTGAAATTGACAATAAGTGAAGAAAAATCAAAAGCTATAATTTTCCATAAAAATCTCAAAAAATCACTCGACTACCAAAATTTTCAATAGAAGATAATAGAATAAAAATAGTTCCAAAACTTAAATTTCTAGGCATAATCATTGACAAAAACCTCAACTGGGTTGAACATCTCAAATATATCAGAACTCAAACACAAAAAAATAGCAAACAACTTACATTATGTCCAAGGACTAAACTGGGGACTAAATCCTCATATTTAAAAAATATTGTTCAATACAGTAATAAAAAAAAAGTATTTATGTTCAGAAATTTGGGCGCAGCCTATGACTGAAAAAAACAAAACATGTGTACTCAGGACATATACTTAGCACAAACTGAACATGCAAAAGCCACAGTTCTCAATTAAAAAAATCCTGCATATTACATGATGAAATATTTAATCCAAACAATTTTGAAATTCAGTCACCCCTACAGAAGACTGCCTCTAATCCTAAAATATATAGCACAGTAAAACCTCCAACCAATCATAATCTCCACCAATAATATATACAGATGGATCGAAAAATGGGCTTAGGAGTTGGCTGCTGTATAATACAAATGATCAAACCAGAAAATAACTCTTCAAAATCGACTCGCCAAGGAAAATAGTATCTTCCAAGCAGAATTACACGCAATTCGAATGGCAAAAGAATACTCAATCGATAACAATTTACAAAAAATCAATTTTTCAGATAGTCAATCAGCATACTAGCTCTACAAAATCTCAAACACACATCTGAAATAATTCAAGATATTTTTAACAAAATTATCCAATATCCTCAAATATCAGCAAACATTTATTGGATAAAGGCTCACGTCGGAGTTCTTGGTAACGAAGAAGCCGATTCAGCAGCCAAATCAGCTACTACCAACAATAATATCCCTTCAAGAAAAATCTCCTGGCCGAAATCATACCTCAAGAATATCTATGTAAAATCAGCCTCCAAATGTGGGAAGAAGAATGGACAGCAATAAATATAGGAAGACAATTACATCAAATAGCACCTCATGTAAATGATACGTGTACAATGGTCAATTGTTATATAAACCGCTTTTTAACTGGACATGGGCCATTTCCCACATACTTATTCAGATTCAACATCTCAAACTCTTGAGTAATGTGTATGTGGAAATAAATGTGATCCAATACATTATATTACTCAATGTCCCTTAACAAAGTCAACTCATATTAAATTGCCTAATTCAAATATCAATGCCTTCCTTCGTTTTGCAATTACCAACAAACATTTAAAAAATAAAATAGAAAAATACATGAAATATCTATTTCAATATGCAAATATTTAGTGAGCTCTAAAGTAATTAATGTCAAAACTCATTTTGAAGCTGCTATTCATCTAAAATTTCTATCAATTATCTTAAAAACAAACCCTTGCAATATACTGATATAGTAAAAAAAGGAAAAGAAGAGGAAGAAGAAACAGATTCATAAAATAACTTTATCTCAAGGAACTATTAAGAACTGTTATAAATTATGTAGCCTACTATTTATTATACCATATATAATAATATCTAATAGATATATCAATCAAATACGATATACTATTTATTACTGTTAATATTATACTATGTATTTTT